AGCATGACTAAAGGAGACACACAGAAAGAGTCCCTAGAAGAGTTGCAGCAGCACAGGAAAAGGAGCAATGCTTATTATTGTCTTTAGGATGAAAATACCCAGTCCCCATTCACCTACTGCCTTACTCACATGGAAATGGAAATAAGAAAAAATGAAAAACCACACTCTGGTATTTTCTGTATGGAGGGAGCATCACAATACAACAGTATAGAATACTTTCACAGTATAACCTTATTTTTCCCATGTTCTTTGTTGCTATATCATTGCCTTTTCCCATTGCTGGTGACTCTGTTGAAAAGGACACAGTAGAACTTCTGATTACATGGGAGGTATCAGATCAGGGGAATCATTCATTTCAGAGTTCAAAGAGACAAAACAGCAGTCGGTGGCAGAATACCATTGTTAACTTGCCCAAGTTGGTACAAAAGCAGAATAAATATGCTATATATTTATATGAAAGGCTTCGGTGAATTCTCAGACCCCAGGTGGCATGTCTTAAAGGGGCGCATCAGGGATCCCCTGCTCTAGGCTGGGCATGAAGCAGCTTCCCATGTCCATAGCATGACTAGGGTGTTTCCTGTTGTGGAAGAAACACTGGTCTTTGCCAGAGAACCTCCTGTGCATTACCTGGGGCACAGCCAAATCACATTTATCTCTTTTGCTGTTAGCTGGAAAACTGGTGCTGAGTTTTTTCTTTTAATATTTTTTTCTTATTTTACTTATCGATCCCAGTTCCCTCTCCCTCCCATTCTCTCATGCCCCCCAGCCTCCCTCATTCCATTCTCTATCCACTCTCCAGGAAGAGTAAGGTCTTCCAGGAGGGATCATCAAAATCTATCAAGTCATTTGGGGTAGGGTCTAGGGCCAAAGCCCTCCCCCCATGTCCCTAGACTAAGGAGTCTCCCTCCATAGGAAATGAGCTCCCAAAGTCCATTCATGCACTAGGGATACATCCTGGTTCCACTGCTCATGTAACCTAACTGAGACCCCAGTGCAGGGGTGTCTGGTTCTATCCTATGATGGTTTCCCAGCTGTCAGTCTGGGGGTCCATGAGCTCCCCCTTGTTCATGTCAGCTGTTTCTGTGGGTTTCTCCAGCCTGTTCTTGACCCCTTCGCTCATTACTTCTCCTTCTCTGCAACTGGATTCCAGGGGTTAGACTCAGTGAACACAACACCAGTAGCACAGACACTGAGATTGACAATTAATAAGTGGGACTTCCTGAAACTGAGAAGTTTCTGTAAGACAAAGGACACAGTCAACAAGACCGAACAGTAGCTCACAGGGTGGGAAAAGATCTTCATCAACCCCTCATCTGACAGAGCACTGATCTCCAAAATATACAAAGAACTCAAGAAGCTACTCACCAAAACACCAAATAATCCTATTAAAAAGTGGGGTACGGAACTAAATAGTGAATTTTCAATAGAGGAATCCAAAATGGCTAACAGACACTTAAGAAAGTGCTTAACATCTTTAGCCATCAAGGAAATGCAAATCAAGTCAACTCTGAGATACCACCTTACTCCTGTCAGAATGGCTAAAATCAAAAACACCAAGGACAGTTTATGATGGAGAGGATGTGGAGAAAGGAAAACACTCTTCCACTGCTGGTGGGAGTGCAAACTTGTACAGCCACTTTGGAAATCAGTATGGTGATGTTTTGAAGCCTGTATGAAGCTCTCTGTGTATTCATCTCCTTCCTTTTCCTTATACCTAAATGTGCATGAACCAGTGGAAGATGTTATTCTAGAAAACGGAAGTCATTAAGCAAGGAGCTGAAATTGTGTATTTGTTTCTATTGTGAATGTATGCAGTAGGAATATTTGCTATATAGTTAGGGCTTTCTCACAATGAAATTATAGTAAGTTCATATCATATCATAGCTATTACAGGCATCTTAAATGTCATTTCTACTATAATCAAACCTTCTTAGAGATAACTAATCAATGTGCATCCTGTTATACTCTTATTTCATATGATACTGAAATATAACATGCTATTGTTATAGAAATTTAAAAATCTTGACAATACTATTTTAATATTTTTTCTTATAATCCACATGATAGTGATGCCTTCAGGAAATATTTTCTTCCCCTAAGAGGTTCTTAAGCTTTAGCAGGTTACCAAGGAGCTACAGAGACCTGTTCTGAGTGTATCCTAGAGTAATTTATATAGCAGAGCCTTTTTCCTCTCCACCTAGCCCTTATCACCCTGCAGATCCACACTGCTATGTGATGAAAGAAGACTTTAATTCATGGGGCACTAAGTCAGGGGAGATTTTATTTAACAATTCAGTCACTTTATGTAAAACACTACACCCTAACTACTAAAGTGATCCCAACAAGATCCATAGTGGTCTCTGGTTGGATATGACCCAAAATCGAAGACTGAGGAGCAAGCATTAGATGGGGTTGTGGAATGTCTCAGAACCAAAATTAGGTAAATTTCATCAAGTCCAAGGGAAACCAGGGCAGACCATACCAAAAGAGAAGGAAGGAAGGAAGGCAGGAAAGGAAGGGAGGGAGGGAGTGACAAAGGGAGGGAGGGAAGGAAGGAGAGAGAGAGGGAGGAACAAGATTGTAGGAGAGATCAACCTGGAAGGGAGATGATGTTGAATACAACATAAGATTTAACTATACTATGCCACATAAGCAGACAGTTCAAGTGTAATTTTATGCGTACAACAAGAGTTATATCTGCCATGCAAGAAGGAATCTTTGGTATTTTTTTCTTCATTTAATAGATGAGCAGATGTTTTTATTTGCTTTACTTTTAGGTCCTAAGGGCTTCTGAGTTTACTACACTTCACATGTAGTTTTAAAACACTCTTATTAGCTCTATTCTCAAGTAATTTAACACTGAAGAGGAGCAAATTACTACAGAGATGTGATCAGTATTGCCTACTTCCTTCATGGAGATTATTAAAAGAACTAAAAAAAAAATTTGTTTAGACTAATAATAAAATCTTCAGTGATAAAAAGTCTTTTGTATTTGATATTTCCTTTATTCTCCTTATTTTTAAACATGTTTTACTGTGTATAGAACCCAGGGCACACCAGGCAAGTGAATGTAGGCCACTGTCTAAACAGGCTTTAAGACAGGTAGAAATTTGATGACATATCTCAGAAGGCATTATTTTGCTGCCAATGAGATGAATCCCACTGAAACTGTAAAACTGTCCTTAGTGCATGGACCCTTGAATCATATAACAGAATTATTTTTTGAAAAACACTGGTATTTTATTGTTACAACAGTCTGTTTCTAAGATAGTAGCTTTTAAAAGGTACTTATTGGTGTGTATGTGTGTGTTTTTAATTAATTTCTTTATGTATGTATATTTATAGGCACATGTATAGAAGTCAGAGGACAACTTTTGGGAGTTGATTCTTTTCTATCATGTGGGTCCCAGGAACTGAAGTTAAATTCACCAGGTTTGGCTGCCAAGTGCCTTTAACCCGAGCCAGCTCCACTTTTTTTTTTTATTTTGTTCTTAAAATCATCATCTGTGACAGACTTTGAAGATTCCCCCATGGAAGGCCTCACCCTCCCCTGGGGAGCAGAAAGGGGACAACTGGAGAGGTGGTACAGGATGGGGGTGGGGGGGAGGGAGAGGGAACTGGGATTGACATGTAAAACAGGATTGTTTGTATTATACATTAAAAAAAAAAGTATCATCATCATCTCACTAGACCAGGATGACCTCAAATTCAAAATCCTCCCACCTCCCCCAAATTGGAATTACAGACACTTGACACTATGTGTATGTGTGGCATTAACAGGTCCTAGAATGTTTTAGCAAGTACAATACTTTGCTCTAAGTTTTTGTGTGAATTTTCACAAATCCAAGAGCGAAAACAGCATAAGGAATCCACAGTACAGATTTCTCACCTTCAACAACTATTACACATTGCCATTCTTATTTTATTCTTTTTTTTTTTTTTCAGTCCTTAAGATCAAACCCAGGGCCTAGGCACACATTCTCCCAGACCTTTGACCCTTTTAGGCTATTTTTATTTGAATTTTGAATTCTCCATTAGGACTGATTTGTCTCTTTATTTTTACTGTTTTTTTATTTTAATAAATTCTAGGCATTACATTAGCAAACTTAATGGAACAGAGTCCATGTTCAAATTCTGCCTGAGTGTCTGAAAGGGTCTTATTGGTTTGTTTGAAAGAAGATTATGAAAGTTCTCCTAGTGATTGTTGGCTACTATTATCTTTCATTTAATAGAAAATTCTTTTGTTGTTTTGTTTTGGTAGTGGTGGTGATGGGCACTAAATCCAGGGCTTTCCGCATGTTAAGTTTGAGCAGTACTGATGAGCTACTGCCCCAGTTGCCCATCCCCACCCTCTTTAAAATGCCACTCATTTGCTGAAGACAGGACACTGTTCTGTCAAAATTCCTTCATTCTATTTCAGGATTTTGCTGACCTATTGTTTACTGTTTAACATGTCCTTCTACTGTCTATAAATAACACTCGTGGGATTTAAAAAAAAGAAATGTAATTTTTTTCCCCTCAAGAATATGAATGGCTCAGGTGACACTTTGGATACCTTTACTGCATTCAGGAAAAATGCAGTATTTGTCTGAGAGTAATGGCAAAATTACTGTGTGTTCTAGGTCTGACCTATCATTAAAAATGTTGGAAAGTTTCCCCTATTACCTATAGAATTTTAAAATGGTGATTTTAGAATCCCATCATTCCAATGTATTACCTGGAATTCTCAGAAGATAAAATTCCTTGCACAAAGTACAAGGTTACCCAGTGCAGGATGAATGCCTCTTTTTCTGAACTTAACATGCTTCCTGCGTGTGAGTTCTGGTGCATTACTTACTGCTAATGGTGAGTCCTGCTGTCGAAGTTACCAGGCTCTGATCACCAAGGAAGCTAGCAAAAGTTCAACCTGGTGAGGCAGGGATGGACAGGACAAGGAAATGGTGCAAAGGGGTAGCAATGGGCCAGGCCAAGCCAGGGAAGAGAATACCTCGGGCAGGGTTCTAGGAGGTGAAATCCAAGTCCTCTGAGCTGTCCTGGTCATCAGTGCTGTGACTGGCCGGGCTCTCCAGCTGACAGGCCTCTTTGGCACCAGGAAGTGTGCTGTCCGGGGCCTTCTGATGCTCCCGGGAGCGCAGAACCCCAGGTTTGCCCTTCCTCAGCACCGGCTGCCTTCTTAGCTCATCTGCCATCTGTGAAAGATCCCGCTTCATGGCGTAGGCATCTTCCCCATCGGCGTAGTACTTGGGTTCCACCTCACTAACCTGGAAGTTGAGGGTGTTGGAATAGAGGTGCAGAGCTGCCCTGTTGCTCTTCCTGACGTGCAAGGACACGTACTTGGCGCCGAAGTTCTCGATCATGGCCCGGGAGGACTGGTCCATCAGTTTCTGGGCCAGGCCGAGGCGCCGGTGCGAGCGCTTCACGGCCAGCGAGGTGATATGCCCGTGGGGGACATCATCGGGGTCCTCCTCCATCTTGGCCAGCACATAGCCCACCATCTTGCCACCCTCGTCCTCGGCGATGTAGGAGAGCTGCGGCCATGACAGGCCGTGGTAGAAGTAGTACTTCATCTGGTAGTTCTCCGGCAGGCACAGCAGGTTGCAGTGCTGCATGTTCATCAGGTCGTGTGGCTGCGCATTGCGGATGTTCATCCTGGCGGCCGGCGGGGCCAGCGCCCAGGCTGCACCGTTGCCTCGGGAATGGAGCTAGGCAGCAGCGCCTGGCCGCGTGGCAGGAAGGCGGGAAGGTCGACAGACGGAAGGGGCGGGGCCAAGGGAGCTTCCGGGAGCCTGCAGTCCCAGCCAATGAGGTCTCCAGTTGACAAGCCTGCACCTGTGCACACTGGGGGGGGGAGGGGGTGGGGGTTGGAGGTGTGGAGCCAGAGGAACTCGCTGAGCTGAGCCTTTGTTTAGAGACAATGTGGCTTGTTGCTTCTGTGTGTCTTCTGTTTGTTTCTATTTTAAGTTTTTTTTTTCCTTTTAAATTTACTAATTCTCTCCGTGTGTATGTAGTGTGTATATGTGTGTCTGTGTATGTATCACTATGCATGTAGGAGACAGAGGACAACTTTTAGGAGTCTCATTTTCCTACACATGGGTCCCAGGGAGTTTTGTCAGCAAGCCCCAAAGCACCCTATACATAGTGAACTACCTATTTGGAAACAATTCTAGCCTTTTAGTTTGTCTACATCTGAACAGCCCTATGTAACTAAAACAAGTAAACCAGTATATCAGTGACATCCCCGCTAGCCTGCCCTTCCTGCCCTTTACCCAGAGGGCTGCTACCTAGCAGGTTTCATATAATAAAATCATACTGTGTGCATTTGTTTTTCCCTACTCACTATATGTGGGTTTCTGCAACCTTGTACACAGCTGAGACCTCTCTATACTTTAGTTTATTTCATGTTTGTTGTCTAAGTTTACTGAAGTTCACTGGGAAGCCTTGCTGTTCATGAGTGTTATTTCCAGTTTAGAATAGTATAGAGAGCAGGGCTAACTGTTGTTGAATATTTAGGCACATGGATTAGAGAATGTAATGATTTTCAAACGTTATAAATATTGCTAAGCAAATTTTCAAAGTGACTACTCCACCTTTCTGTTGCTAGAAATATGTTCCAGGTTGCAAAGAAAGAGACCACCACTCCAAATGAAATGTCTGAACAAGGCAGAACTCAACGACTTAAGAGGCTGTGCTCTGAAGAATGAACACACAGACAAGAAGACATTTGACATTTGGTTTTTATTCTAACTCTCATGGTGGCTGTGTCATTTACCCACTGGCTGGGGTCCTCACAATCTTACTCAGTTGGATAAAGAAACAAAACAAAAAAAAAAAAAAAAAAAAAAAAAAACAAACAAAAACCTGGTGCACAGGAAATGAAGGAAGAAGGAGGATGGTTCCACTGCTCCAGGCCATCAAATTCCTAAATACAGCATTGGACCTTTGTATAAACCAAGGTTTTACTCAGTAGGGAGAATCAAAATATTTGCACAAAAGTCTTACAAGGTGGAGAGAAATAAAAAGATCTTAATTCCTTGTCCTAAACACAAGTTTTATAGTATTTGATAGAGAAATGCCATATTTAATATTTCTTGCATTATCAACATGTTATTTCTCCATTCTTTTCAGATTATCCCTTCTTGTGCAGGTGTGGATGTGTTGCACTGTGGTTTATTTTGCATTTCTCTGTTGACTAGTGACACTGAGCACCTGCTTTTTAGCTGCTCTCTGTCATCTTTTGAGAGTTAGCTGCTCAAGTAATTTTAATCGCTGTCCCTCCCTCCCTCACCTCTTCCTCTACCCATCCCTCCTTTTCTCCCTCCCTCCTGTCCATCTTCCTTCCTTCCTTTCTCTCTTTCTTTCCATCTTTTTCTCCTCTCTACATAGGCCTGGATCTCCTAGTTTTAGAAGACACAGTTGTACTCCTGATGTAGACCAGGCTAGCCTCTAACCACCTGTGACACATATGGCCTGTGTCTTTTCAAAAGTGGGTATCCAGCTTGAATTGCTTCATAGACCTAGTTATAAGGATAGTTGTAATGACTATCATCCTTTGCTATCTGTTGATTTCCCCCATTCTGATGTCAGACCCTCTTTGTCTCCCCTCTCCCTGGATAGTCAATCTAGAGCCCCTCCCCCTTCCAGGCTACTGCTGTCTTTCCAGCCTGCCTATGGTAATTTCTTAATCAGACATGAATTGCTTGCTTTAAAATTTTATGACTACTTTTGTGTAATGCTTAGGAATTCTGTGCCCAGTTTGTAGTCACAATTTCATGTTTTCTTCTGAAACCCTTCATGTCCTATGTTTCTATTTACATTTGCTTCCAGTTGATATTTATTTTTTGATGTTTTGCCAGATACTTTGTTCCATAGGTTGATATCGTAATTAATTTATTACTTTTTAAAATCATCTTCTCTGCACTGTATTTTACCATTTGGCACATTAAAAAATATGCATTTGGCATGTTAGATAATAAGTATACTATCTCTTAACAAAGTAAAATTTTGGAATTATCTTTTAATAATGCATGTGATTCTCATTTTGTTAGCATTGTTTACACATAAGCTGACTATAAACCCTAGAAATATATTACTGTACATATACAAAGATGCAAATGAATACATTTACATATACAGTACTGGCTAGTTTTGAGTGTCAACACAAGCTAGAGTCATCAGAGAGGACGGAAGCTCAGCTGAGGAATTGCCTCTATGAGATCCAGTTGTAAGACAAATTCTCAATTAGTGATCAATGTAGAGATGGTGATCCTGGGTTTTATAAGAAAGCAGGCTGAGTGAGTCATAGGAAACAAACCAATAAGCAGCTGTCACCCATGGCTTCTGCATCAGATCCTGCTTCCAGGATCCTGCCCTGGACTCCCCCTCCTGACTTCTTCAGTGGTTAAAAAAAAAAATGTGGAAGTGTAAGCCAAATAAAACCTTTCCTCCTCAACTTGCTTTTTGGTCATGGTGTTTCGTTACAGCAAATTGGTACCAGCATAGTGGGGTGCTGCTGTGACAGATCTGACTATGTTTATGGGAGGATTGTGGAAGGACTTTGGAACTTTAGGCTAGATAAGCCACTGAGTGTTAAGAGCTCTGTGGGATGTTCTGTGGGAAGTTGGAAGATAAGAATGTTGAGAGCAGTGTAGAGGATGGAGGACTGGGATTGAACCTAGGGCTCCATATTATACCTTATTCTAGTTACATAGTTTCTCTTTACTGTTTCTATTCCCATTGAATCTTTTTGTCTTTCAAGCAATAATTTTTTCTTTCAACTTCTGATTCTTCAACTTGATTCTTTGTGGATTTTGCATCATGTATCCTGTTCTCTTTTATCTCACCATCCCTGTGCATATGACCACTGCCTTTGCAACTCCTGCCCCAATAAAACAAAACTTTAAAGAAAAACCAAAAAGCAAAGGCTAGGCTCACAACCAAAGATAATTTTCTTTATCAAATATTAGCTGCCATTTCTTAGACTTACTCATTGACATTCTGTTATTTATTAATACAGTGTGTGCTGGGGAGATTTTTTGTCAGGTTTGCTCAAATCAGAGACACTTGGAAAGAGGGAACCTCAACTTAATTTGCATCAGATTCATCTTTGTGCATGTCTATGGAGCATGTGAATTATGTTATCCCTGGGCAGGGGTCCTCGGTTGTATAAGAAAGCAGGTTGAGCAAGCCATGGAAAGCAAGAGAGTAAACAGCATTCTCCCAAGGTTTTTGTTCCAGTTTCTGCATCTATGTTCCAGCTTTGGTTTACCTTGATTATGGTCTATAAAGTATAAGCCAAATAGACCCTTTCCTTCCCATATTAATTTTGGCCAATGTTTTATGAGAGTAACAAAAACAAATAAACCAGGACATTGTAATAATTAAATTATAGTTTCAATAATTTGTTGAAAGAAATATACATTAATATCAGATTCAAATTATGCTTCTTATTATTAATATTTTTTTTGAGACAGGGTTTTTCTGTGTAACAGCCCTGGCTGTCCTGGAACTCACTTTGTAGACCAGTCTGGACTTGAACTCACAGAGAATTGCCTGCCTCTGCCTCCCAAGTGCTGGGATTAAAACCCTGCACCACCACTACCTGGCCCTGTTTTATAATTTCTAATAATTTATTTGTAATTTTAGTTTCCTTCCAAGGACAAATGTCATTTAAGTAATAATGGCAGATTTAGTTTTTCTTATCCTAGTCTGATAATTTAGATTAACCTTTCATGCCTTATTGACCTTCCTAAGTTCTCCCATCTAATATTGAATAGAAATATTAACAGGGATCATCTGTGTTCCTATCCTAGTTCTAGAGACAAAGCTGTTAATGTTCCACTGTGGGATCTGCTTACTATGTATTTTGGGTACATGACTTATAGCAGGTTCTCGCCCTGTCTTCACAAATCTATCTAAAATTGCAAATGAATTCTAATTAAAGCCCCATTAACAATTTTGTGATATTCCAGGAAGTGGAAATCTTGGGAGTCATTCTGGAATTCTGCCTACCACAGTTGTTTTTAAATGGATATTTTAAGTATTTTTAAATATTTCAAAATGAATATTTCTGAGTAGTTTAAAGACATTGATAATTTTAGAATCTCTATAGAAGTGTAAAGGATGAAGAACACCCAAAGTACAAATGAACTAAAAAAAAAAAAAAGATGTATTCTTGACCTACCAGAATGAGTGTTTGTTTTTCCCCTTTTACATTGGAGTGTGTGTCTATGCATGTGTATATGTAGTGTGTGATGTGTGGTATGTTTTGTGTGGTATGTTTGAATATGTGTGGTATGCTGTGTGTATGTGGTGTGTGTGTGTGGGGGTTGTGTGGTGTGTTTGTGTGTTGTTGTTGTTGTGGTGGTGTGTGTGTATGTGTGTGCGCATGCGTGTGTGTGCCTATCCATATATGCACTTTGGGACCTAGGGCTTGGTGATTAAGTTAGGCTGGTTGCCAGAGCCCCAGGGTCTACCAGTTTCAGCTCCTTAGCACTAGGGTTATGAGTGATCACTGCTATGTCTGGTTTTATTTATGGAGGTGATGGGGACCTAACTCAGTTTCTCTTGCTTGTTTTCTGGCTAATTTATCCTCCTGGCACCTAATGTTTGACTTTTAAATAGCTTATCTTAGTAAGGGTTTCTATTGCTA